GAGCACAGATAGCCCTTTGTGTAGCTTTGTGCTTAACTACAAACAAACACAGACTAGTACATTAATTTGGTTCCAAAGTAGAGACGATTGTCTTAAAGTGTGTGACTAATGACAATAAGCACATTTAAGAGTTTATTGGTGAAAATCTAGAGTCAATGAACGTTAGTTATTATTTTATCTACTTTAATGAATATAATGTATTTCCTTACGTACCTAGACACGAGAAACGTTAGCTTATAAGCTTCAATTATTTCTAAAACACCATTTTTTTTTCTAATTTCATTTTTCTAATTTGATTTAGTATAGTAAATCTGGCTGAGCGAGGCCTATTAGTTAGTGTACTGGGCTGCGAATCTCAAGATCTAAGGCTCGAATCGTGATGTTGCGAAATACACGGTCCAGCTGTGGACGCGTTATAAAAGTGAAAGTCAATCTCATTAATCAGTTCAAGATGACGGACGAGATCCGTTTGGTAGCGAACGACGCTGACTGGTTTCCCTTCTTGGGCCAGTAGTACAAACTAGGAGTGGTTGAATTTAAACATTAAGGGTTTCTTGACCTGGTCATTTAGTTGCATGAAGTGACATTCAGGTTTAATATACCAATATCATGAATAAATCTCTGAATTCTGGACATCCACCAATATGACCAAACAACAGTATTCCTTGTTAAAAGCTAAATGAATTGTACAATAATATATATATATTAAGAAATAGCTACAAAAGCGTTATCTCATTACACATGAAATGCAACAATCCCCCTGTCATCTGATATCCGTAACTATCCTAGAACAGAATTTTTCAAAGCATTCACAATTCTGTGAACTACGTGTAACCTAATCCACTTCCTGTCGTCGCTGATCATGTGAAGCGCCCTCTATTAAGTTCAACACAGTTCAAAAGCCTAAGAGATTACGTCCTACATGATGTGCAAATTAAGATGAGCGAATAAGAAAATAAAACACCAATTCTAAGCAAATTATCAAGTCTTTTTTTTTTTTTGTTAAGTAACAGTTGCTTGGAACGTGTAGCAGTCCTTAATTTACGCTATAAACATCAGCACTATGTCTGAACCTTTAGTGAAACGACCTAGTGTCAAGGCTATGAGTGCTATGCGGTTTAGACTTGATTTTAATTAAATATTAAATCACTGTTCTGCGAAAAAATAAATTTCGTAACGTTTGGTTTTGGTTCTTTTTTTTTTTCTAAGTCCATTTTACTATTATTTTTCTTTACAGAGAATTTCTGTGTGCTATAAAAGAAGAAAGGACAGCGGGGAAAAAAAGAAGAAACCCTACAAGTTTAGTCAGTGCTTTAGATTGGCAAACATTATGTAAACATTTTAATATGTTATCGATAGGTGGCGCCATAATGCGTGTAATAAAAAATACGTGACGAAAGCTTTCAAATGTCCTTTATTATAAGACAGAGAGTGCTTTTTTCTTTCCTTTTTACCTATATATTGATTTTCCGAAGAAGGTTGTAAAAGCTAAAACCACTGAAATAAGATGCATCTTTAATTTTTAGGTCATCTTAGAGTTCATACTCCATTGTTCTTCAAAAGTAAAATAATAAGAACAACATGTTTTACCAATTTTTTTTCGGCTACCACCATTTTATAGAA